GTCTGCAGAAACTTTTTTTAAGTACTATACAGATAGGACATTTTAAAAAGGCATGTTTGTTGAACTAGGAGTAGCATAGAAGTCTTATAGTTAGAGGGAAAAAAATGAGAAAATAATAATAACAGCTAACACTTTGTGCCAAATACTGTTCTGCTGCTTGACTGTGAACACCAAAAGGGCAAGAACTTTGTCTCTTTCACTCATTATACATACCCAGCACCTAATTCGGGGTGTGGGGACACAGTAGGCACTTGGTATCCTATTTTTCAGTGAGTGAATAAATAAAACAGAAGCACCTGGCTAAAGTAAAAAATCTGCCATTTCAAAAAAGGTGGTAATTATGAGTTCGTTTTTCTAACATTATGGAGCACCAAGTATTTGTTGGGCATTGAACTTGGCACTGAAGATAAAGAGATTAAAAGACAAGGTATCTTCTGAGGTTGGTGGGATAACATTCTAGAGTAGAATCTTAATCAACCAGGCACCTGGGTGGGCACTGGGGAGACAAAGAGATGAGGAAGTTCCTCTCCCTGCCCTCAAGGAGCTCACAGTGGTGTAGGTGGGAGGTGTCTATAACAGAGTTGTGTATACAGGGTTATGATCTGGAACAGGACATGATAAACCTGCCTAAAGGGGATCAGTACAGTTAGCTTTCACTACCAGGCTTTATCCAAAGAGCAGCAATCATTGATCAGAGAGGTTATAGGATTCTTGCATTGAATGGTACTTCTTTATGTAATAAATTCCTGCACTTACTCCCAGGAATCTGTACATATACTTCCTTAATGTTCTAGAACGTGGAAAAGTGGATTCTTCCAACCCCCTGATAAGCACTAGATTACATGACCCTCACTATTTTGTGTTCTGTTATCCCCAAGGCATTGAAAAACATTAGAAGCAGTTGCTGCTCAGTAAATGGCAGCAACTGTTGCTGCTAGGGCTGAGTCCAGGGCTACAAATATCTATCCAGTGCTCATCAGGAGTTTCCCCACAGGAAGTTGAGGGGATTTCACACACAGCCCTGCCACTGTCTGAGACAAGCTCTGACCAAGTCTAGCTCCACAGTCAGCACAAGCCAGCTCAAGCCTCTCCCATTTCCTGGTTCCCTCGTTTATGTACATCCTCTTTAAATACTGCCCAGATTGAACCCAGCACAATTCATTTGCTGGCAAGAGTAACCAACTTGTTAAAAGGAACAGGGAGCACTGAGATGTGGTTGTGAGCAGCTGTGATCCAACCCAGCACATGGGGATTTGTGCAATTTAAAGCTCTAGACAGCTGTTTTTATGGTGGCTGCACCAACACGTGCTGCAGAAAAAGCACAAACCAAATTGCCCTGCTGGATCAGGAAGTCGAGCTGATGACACAGATTCTGGGAGGCAGCGTGGCGCCTCATTCTGCCCTGGTCAGCAGGGGAAAGTCTTGTCTGCTCTTTTTACACCCAGCATGGGACTCTTTGGTAAAGATGAAAAGGAATATGATTCAGAAATCCTGAATGCTACCTTTGAATCTATGCACCTCAGATGACACCCATCTTGCCCTCAACCTTTGCTATCTTTTTTCATAATACTTTAACACTGAACGTGTTATACAACGTATCAGCCCTCTGAATTGCACAACCCATTAGAGTGGCAGCATAAAGTGGAAAAACTGGTCTAACATCAGTAACACAGAGATTATACAACATGGTGAAGACCAGAAACAAATGCACGAATATTCCCTTGAATTATGTAACAAATAACTGGAAAAAAAATGATGAAAAAATAAGAAAAAAGATTTCAGGCTTGTCCCCCGATCCTTCCTTCTTGGTTGTGCTGTAAACATAAAATTTTTCAATACTCATATCTTTCCTTTACACTCACGCTGAAATTCAAACCTAAACACTATACAGTATTGAATAAAATTGTTTCAGCTTGCTTTCTTTTTTTCATTACCTTTTTATGGCAGGGTCACTAAGCCTTCAAAACTACATCACTTCTCTCTTAATATGACCATACTTCATCATATTCAGTGAGTTTGATTATAATTTCACATGCTTCAATAAGACATGACAATTGTCATCAAGCAAGAATTACATATTCCACCTTTTCTATTTCTTATGTTGGGGGAGGGGTTAAAATGGTTAAGGGCTGGCCCAAGGTGTCACTAACATGCTTTCCTAGGAACTTTCAGAGGCAATGGAATGGATATGTGACTGGGAGCGGGCAGACCTGGATTCCACCTAACACAGCCATCACTTAAACCTCTTTGTGCCTGTTTTCTTCTCTATAAAATAGGACACAACTATGTTGTAAAGCAGGTGAGGACAAGCACCCAGCACAGTGGAGAACATGGCTTTCATTGGAAAGCCCTGAGAAGTTAAACAGACTTGTCTTCAAATCCCAGCCCTGTCATTTACTGAAAGACCTTGGGTTTGTTACTTTAAAATGCTCTGCTTTGCTTTCTGAGTCATAACCCTTGATTAACACCTATGCTGAGTATGAAATGAGATGACATATGTCAACTGTCACCAGAGACAGCAGCTCCCTGAATTATTTGCCTTAAGGGTACTTGGCACTCAGACCCCTATGACATGAATAGCCCTGTAGATCACAGATTTGAACAAATTAGTCACCATCTCTGAACACAAGGGCACCAGACAGGCTGCTTCTGAAGAGTCCCCTTAAAGGGGATTTATGGCCCGCTGGGCTCCTGAGGTGTAAAAGGTTAGGGTAGGTTGGGCAGGGCTGAACCTGAGCACTCCTGTAAGCGCTGACTGGGGCAGAGGGCGGAGAGGAAGGGCGACGACAACCTGGCAAACAGATAATGGCTAAAGCAGAAGTACCAACTGCCCACCTTTTGTTGATGCCTTTATAACCCCCCCACCCCCCACTCCTTGCTCCAGAAACGGTATACCCGGGCTTAGCGAGAACCAGCTTCTCAGTGCTATCCGCGGTGCGGTCCGGCCCAGTGACCTCGCCTTACTTTAAATCCGAGAGCTACAGGCGGCCGCCGCTTCTGCACAGCACCCGAAAGGCCCGCTTTCAGGTCGAAACGTGTTCTTGAGCAACGCATGCCTGAAGCTGGGTACTTGAGCCTCAGCGGGCGACCAGGGGAGGACAGGGACCCGACGGCGTTAACCCGTTCAAGGAGGCCTCCCTGTGCGCCCTGCGATCGCGTTCCACGGGGAGGTGAGCCACCGCTAGCCACCAAGACCCGAGGCGCTGCGGCGGGTAGCTGCGGCGCAGCGACCCTGGCCTCAGTATTACAGCATCCCAGCCCTTACGGCGTCCCGGAGAATATAAGGATGTCCTCGCGCTGCGAGTCAGCAGTGGACGATTCATCGACACACAAGTAAACGATGGGACATGGGGAGCGTGGCTCCGGGCCTGGCTGGAGATTAAAATGAGATTACAAAGGAGGAGGAAGAGCCGAAACAGTCGATAGTTGGGCGCCCTGATCTTGGCGCGGTTGGGCAACACTTGCGGTCCAGCAGCCCCGGCACAGGTCCCCCCCAAAAGGGGAAACGTTTTGAGGCAGAGAATAGCAGCGAAAGCCAACGCGGGTGCAAACAATCCAGGCACAGGGAAGCAGCGCTGCCGGCCCCGGGCCTTGGTTTCCCCGTCTGCAAAATGAGGGCATTGGACAGGAGTGTCTCTTAGCCCTGCTGTGACTGTAGGACTCTGCAGTACACCAGGCTGACGCTATCCGAGGCTCGGAGATCGGAAAAAGAGGGAAAAGCAGGGAAGACAACTGGGAAGAGAAAGGGAGGAGCGGGTGGTAGCCCATGAGAGGGAAGACGCCACACGCCAGGGACAGGCTTGGCGGATTTCAGCTTTACTCCTCCTCCTCCCACACCTGAGTTCTCACGTCTGGGCCACCGAGCTTGGGCCTCAGTAGCCAAGCTTCTCCCTCCTCACAGCAGTTTCTGGAAGCCGTGGGGGCAGATGGTGGGCAGCACAATAATGCATGCCAGGGATGGAAGGGGGAATGGTCTCGGCTGGAGTCCCGAGGGCAGGTGAGCACATCTGGGGCTGTGCAGGGAGTGAGATGGCTCCAAGCTAGGGATCGCGGGGCTCCCGCGTCCCAGTCCGCGAACCCTGGGCCGGCCAAATTTCATTCCCCAAATTTGAGCAAGAGGAGGGGGTGTATGCAAAAAAAAAAGGAAAAAAAAGTTGCTTAACTTTCCCCCAACTCTGCCGTGGAGGCGGGACCGGAGGGCGGTGCCTGCACCCTGATTCGCCGGAGGCTGGACCAGGAGGCTCGGATTGGCGCGCAGGGTCTGGGGACGGGACGAGCGGGCGTGGGGGAGGGGAGCAGCCCTCCCCGCCCGCGGGATCGGCTCGCGCCGGGAGCGGGTTAATTTCAAATCGGGGGCTTGACTGCTCCAGTACGGCCACGTTCCCTCTGCCTGCCCACCGGCCCGCCAGTCCCGGTCCGGGCGTTTCCCTCCGGCACCCACCTCGCGCGGCGGAAAGACGGACTGACCGCCCGACACGCGGGCTTCTGGGTCTGAGCGGGGAAGGGGTGCCGAAGAGTTCCCGCTCGGTCCCCGCCGGCTCCAACCGTGAGGTGGACTGACAGGTCAGCGGGACGCAGAGGACGCGGCGCCCGGCCAGCCCGGGACAGGGAGCGGGCTCGGGCAGGCGGCGGCGGCGGCGGCGGCCGTTTCCCGCCTCCCGCTCCAACAGGGGCCGTGGAGGGAGGAGCTGAGCTCCCGCGCAGAGGGGCGGGGGCGAGCGAGGGGGAGGGGCGAGGATGCCTTGGTTCCGGGCACGGGTTTGCCCGCGCTAAAGCCCCGCGCAACACGGTCCGGCTTTCCGCGCCAAATTTTTAAATCGAAGGCGGAAGGTGTGGCCCCGCCCCTAGCGCCGCCAACCAATCGTAGGCCTGTAGCCGGCTCTCTGATTGGCTGGGAATTGTTGCCCTGGAAACCACAATGATGCTCTCCGGGAACTGTCTGGCGGGTGGCGGGCTGACCGGACTTGGGGGGGAGGGGCAGTTAGCCTGGAGGAAGGAGAGGAAGGGCGCGGGGCGGGTGGCGGCAGAGGGACGGTACTTGGTTGCCTTGTCGGGTAAATGCAGCCTCCCATGGTGAAGTCCAACATCGTGGCGTAAACCAGCCACCCGAATAGCGAGTACCTAGCGCTTTGAATCTTTAAAGAAGTCTTTTTTGAAGTCTTAATGCTAAGGCGCTCTTTAAATGCCCAGCAGTACTCTGGGAGCTAGGGACTGAATTTGGAAGTTCCCTTTCAAGCAACTTCCCAAGACTTTACTGCTGAGCCCTGTGCACGTGTGTGCGAGGGGGAAAAGTCAAGCATATAGATGCAGACTTGTATCCAGGTACTCGGGGTGGTGTGTGCTCAGCCGGAACCCGGGCTCGTGCGCTCAGTCCCGAGCCCTGGTCTGTGTGCAGGTGGGTGCTTGCTACAGCCTATTTGGTGGGGTCAGGAGAATGGTCCGCCTTCCGTAATAATTGGAGAGGACTGTCACTGGAAATTGTATGGGTTGCTTGAATTCTCATGACAGCGGAATTTATAGGCGTTTATTGGAGTTTTCTGCCTAGTGGGGCTATCTCTGGTCGGGAATAAAATGTAAATCTAGTTTGTCATTTTTCGTTAGTCTTTGCTTCCGTGGGCTGTGTGTCTGTGAAGGAATTTTCAACAGAAGATCTCCTGGTTCTTATTTTTCTCTAACTTTTCTATTCTTTTTTCTTTAAGGATATTGAAATTTTTAATAGAATTGATTGGACTACTTGTACCATCGTATTTGGGGAGGAACTCCAAATTTTTCATTTTTAAGGAACTATAAATGTATGAGAAATTTACAAAATGGAGAATGAAAAGGTACTTTTTACTTCAGTAATCACCCTTGCCGTTTTAAATGCAATATCCTGATTTAACTACATGATTTTTTAATATCCAGTATCTTATTAATGCCACATCCCTTTTTAGTTAGCCTTTGTAAAAACCCCAGAAGGAAGAGAAATTTAATTTCTGAAGAAGAGGAGGCTTGCCCGGAATTAACATAATCTTTCTAATATTTGGTTTGGTGGAAGTCTCAAAAAGATAAACAGAGAAAGATATTTTTAAAAACAATAAAATTTGTTAGTTGCTTTATATTTCTGAGGGTTCTTGAACAATTGGGATTCAGAAAGGGCATTTGACATGATTCGAGATTGTATTTCTTGTTAAGATAATTTTCTACCAAATTGCCAGCTTTTTAAACTATGGGAGCCACAAAACACTCTGTTTATGAAGTAAACATTTTGTAAAATTACAAAAGAATTGTCAATTGGGGTGTCTTGATTGGTGTCCAACTTCTGATAGGTTAAAAAAAGTGAACTTATATGACAATTTCCTAAAAGTTTTAAATGTTAGTCAAATAAGACAATTACTATTTCTCCTGATAGTCAGAGGCAAAGGACAACAGCCTTTATAAAATCCCCTTTCTGGGGTCAGCCCCTCTCTGGCACACATGCTGGCATGGATCCCCCATTGGATCCACCACGCTAACTTCCATGTAAGAGAACTATACTTGGAATGAGAAGATCTGGGTCCCAGTCCTGTGTGACCTCTCTCAGCCTGGGTGTCCTCTTCTGCAAAATAGGAGTACAGGATTCAATGAAAACACAGGTGGAAAAGCATTTGATAGATCCTGAGGTGTTACAGACATGCAAAATAGTCCCATTAATCCATATTCCTAAAGTTATTGAGGAGTTAGTGACCTCTGTTCTTTCACTTATTGCCATAGCAAGCATTTTCTTTAAAATAGATACAGATAGGAGAAGATGGTGAAGTTCCCTGTGTCTGAAAGTGGAAGGAACATAGTATCCATTAGTCTTATTTATTAATTGCTATTAACTTACCCTCTTTTGTCTCAATAACAGTCCTGCTTCTGCCAGGAACTAGCTTTGTGACCTTGGGTAGCTAATTTTACTTCTCTGGCCCCATTTTTCTCCATCTATAAAGTGGGGGGTGGATATTCAACAAGCAGGCTTTTCTGGTCAGAAGTCCTCCTCAGGTACTCTGTCTTCTCCGGATAAGTCTGACCATATATATGCTAGCCCTCACCCTTGTCTCCTTGGCTCTATGACTCTTGCACAACAGTGGTATTTTATTGAGCACCCACTGCGTGCAGCCATTGTGCCAGGTGGATAATGGTGTCTGCCCTGGAAGCCTTTACTTATTACAGTGTCATGAGTAAAAGTTGCTTCTAAGATTTGGGGATCACTTAAAAATTATCAGGCCTATTAGAGAAAGCTGAGTGAAGGGTATATGGGAACTCTATATTATCTTTGCAACTCTTATCTAAATCTAAAATTATTTCAAAATAAAGAGTTAAAAAATTATGTCCTAATTTAAAGTGTGTTTTTTTCTGTGTGTGTGTTTTTAATTGTTGGGACATAACATGAAAACCTTTAGGTGCATACTTTGTTGCAAAATTAAAAATGGAAAATGTACCTATTAGAATGGACAATAAATGTCAAGTGATCATTGGAATACAGTTTTTAACTTAACTCTACAATCTCATTAGGCATTTTTTCCTCCGCAATATTCTATTCATTGTACAATTTCTAGCATCAGAAGCCATCTGATAAATCTTGTTTTACAATGGACTTGATCATTTACTTTTTTTAAACCAGGAAAATCTCTTTTTTGAGCCACATAAAAGGGGACTGATGAAAACACCTCTGAAAGAATCCACTATGACAAACAGAGTGTTGGTGGAGATCCAGCCTGACTTTGGCCCTTTAACCACGCCCACCAAGCCCAAGGAAGTCCCCCAGGGAGAGCCGTGGACACCAACAGCCAATCTGAAAATGCTCATCAGTGCTGTGAGCCCCGAGATCCGCAACAGAGATCAGAAAAAGGGGTTGTTTGACAACAGAAGCAGGTTACCTGAAGCCAAAGACTATTTACACGTAGGTTTTCAGAGGACTGGGTGGTGACGGGAATTTGTTGGGGACTTGCAGCTGCTGAAAAAATGCCAGCAGCATAAAGTATCACCACCCATAAGCTGTTATGAAACTTCAGAGCACCAGGAAGGTTTGGACCCCATCACATATAGCACTGCGAATTCTGAACCGTTGAGTTATTTTCATCTCAGGCTTCCCTTTCAGATTTGCCAAGCAGCTTGTACTGGCTCCTCCCACATGTCCCTCCCAATTTTGCAGCTGTCAAAACTAAGCATGTGTGTAAGTGGTGTTAGTCATCAAGCGCGGATGCTTTTAATAAATCTGTCAAACTTTATTTCACAATAAGACATTATTTACCTTTTCCTTTATAGGAACACTTATCTGGAGATGAATATGAGAAATCCCAACCAAGTCGAAAAGAGAAAAGTTTAGGATTATTGTGCCATAAGTTCTTAGCACGATATCCTAAATATCCCAACCCTGCTGTGAATAATGACATCTGTCTTGACGAAGTAGCAGAGGAACTTAGTAAGTATGCAAACAGCTCACTGAAACAGTTAATAATTAAAGTGACTTATGGACTTAACTCCTTCAGACCCACGCTCATCTAACCAGTGTTTGTAAATGACACAAATAAGGCCACATGGAAATTATAGATCTCTAAAGCCCTCTTAATTTAGAAATAAAGGTCATATTTTCTAATTTCAGTGGATCTTAGAAGCAAAAAAAAAAAAAAAATCACAATGGAGGTTGCTTCTGAAGCTTTAAAGGAAGGCAATGTTGCTTTATGACTTGTTTCACAAATGACTACAACTCTGAACTTGACTCAGACTTGGCCCCCTTTTAGAAGAGCTGGGCTGCTGGATGGTGTCTTCCTCGGTTATGCTGAGGATCAGCTTCCATGAATAGAAGCAGGACTTGTGGGCTCCCTGCATTCAGCACTATTCTGAGGACTAATGAGTTTTCTGAGTATTTGTGTTTGACTAAAGTTATTGTGTTCCTCCTGCCCACTTTTACTCCTCTCTTCATAGACCCATATCTAGTTATAGCTAAGCAAGGGGTCTGTGGGATACCTTTGGAGTCATGAAAATATCTTAATCTAAAGCTGTGAAGAGATGAACTGTGCGGGATAATACATTTTAATATATAGCTATCAACCCACAAAGAAAAAGTTTGCCCTTCTCATACATTTTTATAAATATCAACTTTATTTTACATTTTAATAATATATGCCATTTAGATTCATATATTCTTCACATACACTTAATTGTAGCTAGGTAGGTTGTACCCTTTAATTCAGCAGGTATCTATTGGTCACCTGCTATGTGCCAGGCAATGTTGTAGGAGCTTGGGATACATCAGTGAACAAAAAAGGCAAAATCCCTTCTCTTATAGAACCTACATTCTAAATGGGTACAATAGGTACTGAGTGAAGGACATATGCATAATATGTAATGACAATGTATGTTAGAAGTTGATACGTATTACAGAAAAAAAAATGTAGAACAGGCAAAAGGGCTCAGGCGTGCTAGAGAAGTGCTTTGAAATTTTAAATTAAGTGTGACATCTGAAAAAGGACTTGAAAGAAGCAAGGTAGGGACTGTGAGGACATCGAGGGGAAGGGGTTCCAGGCGGGAAAAAAAAAAGCCCAGTACAAGGGCCTTCAGACAAGGGCATATCTGGCAGGTTACAGGAACAGCAAGAGGCCAGTAGGAGGCACCCTTCTTGAAATAGTGTTTTATTAAGCACTTTTCCAGAGAGGCTGCATTTCATCAAATATTTTAATTTAAATCAACTTTAAAAATAAATTTCGTAAACGAGGAGATTTTTAACATTGCAGAATATTGAAAAACCAATTTAAATAGATTGATGAGAGTCACAGAATTCCTATTATTGCATTGTTAATGGTAGCTAGAAGGTAAGCAAAACTAAAACCGAAAGGGGATTTTTTAAAAAATTTTCATGTGGATTTTTAAAAACTTTACTTTTCTGAAATGTCAGCACATGACTCTTACAGGCAGCTGTGCGTGCGTGCGTGTGTGTGTGTGTGTGCGTGTGTGTGTGTGTGTTGGGAGGATAATACAAGAAACAGATTGGAAAGTGTGGGATTTAGAGTGTTAAAGACTTGGTTTTGCCACTTACTGGCTGCGTGCCTTGGGGTGAGCTACATAGCCAGTCTGAGCCTCTATTTCCTCATCAGTAAAGTGCAGATAATAATACCTACCTTACAAGTTAAGGGTTAAAATTTCCCAAAGCTGTAATGCACATATTAGCCCTTCAATAAATGTCACCCTTTCTAATTGATGTTAACATACTTGTACCCTTTGACATGTCTTTCTAACCTTCACGCTGTTTGTTGAGTATACGTGCTTACAGTAAATAAAGTTATATTATCCAGAAGCTATTGACAAATAAGCCACGAAAGGAAAAGTTATTCAATTCTAAACACTTCACAAAATCTGACCCTAGTAACATACAATTTCACCTTCTTTGTAGATGTTGAGCGTCGACGCATTTATGATATTGTGAATGTTCTAGAGAGTTTACATATGGTGAGCCGCCTGGCCAAAAACAGGTACACTTGGCACGGGAGACATAATCTTAACAAAACCCTTGGGACTCTGAAGAGCGTCGGGGAGGAGAATAAGTATGCCGAGCAGATTGTGATGATCAAAAAGAAAGAATATGAACAAGAGTTTGACTTTATCAAGAGTTACAGTATAGAGGATCATATCATCAGATCAAACACTAGCCAAAATGGACACCCAGATGTGTGTTTTGTCGAGCTCCCTGGAGTGGAATTTCGGGCAGGTAAGAGCCAGCATTGAAATGCCCAGGCTGCTTGGTACTTTTCCTGGGTCTAAAGAAAAGGTCCCAGGGAGAACACTGCTTTAAAGCTACTAGTGCCTTTCATGTTATGCTGCAGTTGTCAAGTGTATGATCAGGTGGTAGTATTTTTAGCCTTGTTACTTTAGAAGTCACTTGTCCCTTCATGAATTTTAATTCTCTAATCCTCATCCTCTCCAAAGCCTCTGTAAACAGCCGCAAAGACAAGTCTTTAAGAGTGATGAGCCAGAAATTTGTGATGCTGTTTTTGGTGTCAACGCCTCAGATAGTAAGCTTAGAAATTGCTGCCAAGATTTTAATTGGGGAGGACCATGTGGAAGATTTGGATAAAAGCAAGTTTAAAAGTAAGTGTCATGACTACCATGGAATTTTAGACCTATTCTTAAACAATAAAATCTCAGTTATAAATGGATTTCCAAATATATTGGGTACATAAACAAATCTTCTCTAATTGTGCTTTTATATCTTTATTTCTCCCCAGAAGTAATGATAATACCGCTTTAGCTAACTTTTGTAGGATTCGAAGATATGTAGTTATTCTTCTTTGTCTGACATTTTGACTTCATTAGATAGTGTAACATTGTCCCCATTTGCACAAGTAGAATCTGTACTGAGGGCTAAAAGCAGTAAATTATAACGGGACTGGACTCCAGGTCTCCCTCTTCCCACCAGTGCTGATATATGAGGGCATAAATAACTCTTATAAAATTACCCCCTGAAGTGACCTGCAGCATGGTTGGTCTGCCATTTTGAAAGAATGGTTTTAGCTAGAATACCTGCTCTAAGTTAGAAAGGGACTGTTGATTGAATTCCTAACACAGACCTCTGCCCTCATCACTGTGCCGGACTTTGTAGGAACCTCCGCAAGGAGAAGGAGTAGAGAGAGGGTGTGGAAAGAAGGCTCAGCACATGGGGAGGGGCCTGCTGCTGGAGGAGAGCCTGGACACGACTTCTTGTTGGACCCGGCTGCATGGTGAAAAAGAGCCACCCCAAGGGACTGCAGAGGTGGTGGTCAATGCCTGGTAGCTGTCAGCCACAGATGCCTTCCCATTGCATAAAGCTGTACTAGTCCTATGGAAGTATATTCAGATATCCTGGGTTTGTAAAGTGTCGATAAAGACAGAATTAAGTAGAGAGCAGAGTCAATAATGCTGACAATTGGCTTGAGAAATCTGCAATTCCTGATACTACTGATGGGTTGCCTGCTTTTCTGAGTCAACAGTTTTGAGCTGTTTCACTGGTTAGTCAGAGCCTTGGAAATTATTCCAGGAACTGCAGAAGTGTAATTTGTTAAATCCCCAGGGAATTCAGAACCTTCTGGCATGGCTATGAAGAAGGGGACTCGATTTGTAATTTCGTACTATCAAGATGGAAGTCAAAACAGACTTTTTGTGACAAAACTTTTTAAGATACATGAAATTCGTAGAATTAACAAATCCATGCTTTGCATATTACATAAGAGCAATATAAAAATTTACAAATTTTGATGAGGTACAGAATTTTCTATGCTTACGTTATTACATAAATCTTGTTATAAACTATTGCAAGCAGAAAAGCAATACATTTATCACTGATGCTTTATTTCTGTTTGTTCATAAAATTCTTCTGAGTCCTCATTAAAAGATACCCAGGAATGGTGACATTTTACAAAAAAAATCTATAACATAGTTCCAGATAGGGTGATCTCATCAAGTCATTTCTCCCTTTTCAACAAGTGCGGTTGTCATTTCAAAATTCAGTACCAGCAGTAACTGAGTCTTTTAAATATTTAAAACTTCTTTTTATTTTGTTTTAATTAAAGCAGTATTACAAGAATAACTTAAAAGGAATCACATGCTTCTCTATCTGACATTGATGGTTAGGATAGTTCTTAGAATACACATGAATTTCTTAGGAAGCAAAATCCTTTGATCTTTCATTATTCCAGTAAGTGATATATACATCTTTTTTTTCCAGCAAAAATTAGAAGGTTGTATGATATAGCTAATGTTCTGAGTAGCCTAGATCTTATCAAGAAAGTTCATGTTACAGAAGAAAGAGGCCGAAAACCAGCTTTTAAATGGACGGGCCCAGAAATCAGTCCAAATACCAGTGGTATGTATTTTATTTCTTTCATTCTCTGCTTCATTATTTTGATTTTATGCACATTTGGAAATATTCTCCCTTCCCCTTCCTCCACGCACCCCCACACGGAAAAGACATAGATAAATGGTTCAAAAGGCAATTTTAAAGACGAGTGGCAGTATAGAAAGTTTGGCTACTGGATCCATCAGCAACCAAAGTCCATAACCACCTCCCACCCTCTGTCTAGGAAGTAGAATCTATATGTGAAAGGATTTAAAAAGTTGAAAGCATCATAAAGTATAAGTTACTGTTGCTGTTATTATGTTGCTTGGTGACCATAACAGAACCTGTGCACATTGAGAATATAAAATGAGTTCATTTGGGTATCGAGATAAATATTTCTAGTCCTCCTCTCAACTCTGATTCTGACACTTCGCATTCCACCAAGATCCTCACCCAGAATCACTGGCCAATGGCAAGAATGTAGGCCATAGCTCTGCCACTCATTAGCCTTGTGACCTTCGGCAGGTTACTTCTCCGAGGCTCAGTTTCCTCACCTGTGAAATGGGAAGAGCAATGACGACTTTGCGGGGTTATTGTGATTTTGGATATACTCTCAGAGAGAGGTCCTTTGGTGCAGGGATTCGTAGTTGAGACAAATAAGGTTATGTATATAAAGCCATTAAAATAGTATCTGGCACATCGTCAGTGCTCTATAGCTGTTGCCACCCTTATTCCTAAAATCGTTTTAGAACTACATTTTCATTTCTTGTCCCAAAGACAGCTGAACCACCTGTGTTTCCTGCACTTTTCTCTTTCAGGACCCAGCCCAGTCATTCCTTCTACCCCCTCTGATTTGGAAGCGAGGCAGTCTTCAAAAGAGAACTGTGCCAAAAACCTCTTTTCTACAAGTGGGAAACCAAATTTCACTCGACACCCCTCTCTTATCAAACTGGTAAAGAGCATAGAAAGTGATCGGAGAAAGATAAATTCTGCTCCCAGTAGCCCTATCAAGACCAACAAAGGTATGTTTTCAATAATGTCAGAGCTCTGCTAGGAGGAATTATTTTTTATCTGACTTTTTTTGATTATGTGATCCCTGCAATACTTGTTAGAGAATTGTTTCAATATTCATATACCCAAACCCTCTTGAATCCTAACTTATGTATAAATTAAAGGATAAGAAGTAATTTATGGGGTTTATCATTTAATTGCCCTGCAACTTTGGGGGGAGGTGTGTGTTTTCTGTTCCTTTGACTTCAGTAAGGTTTCATTTCATCTTGTGAAATTTATTCTTTAGCTTTGACCAATGCCCCCAACCCCCTTTCTATTTTACCAGCTGAGAATGCTCAGAATTCTGCAAACTTCCCAAGTAAAATGGCTCAGCTCGCGGCTATTTGCAAAATGCAGTTAGAAGAGCAATCAAGGTAGGTTGGCAATGCTCTTTAGTAACAGGATGAGTTCCTTTTATGTTGCATTATTAGGATTACTTATTATGTGAGAATAGGCACTAGTTTTGGAAATTGGCAAGATCATCTTTTCTATATCTCATATTCAGTCATTACAGAAACTATGTACTAGTTTCATAAAAGCATGGCTTCAATCTGAGGCTTCAAGAGGTAGAACATTTCAGAGAAAATGTGTTTCCATAGTGTCATGTTTTAAATCTTGTCTTTTAGTGAACCCAGAAAGAAAGTGAAAGTACAGCTGGGAAGATCTGGGCACTGCAAACCAGTGGCCCCTCTGGACACCCCAGTGAATGCTGATCTGGAGCTGATGGCACCATCCCTCATCCAGCCTCTGGGAGTGGTCCCTCTAATCCCCAGCCCATTGTCATCAGCGGTGCCTGTGATCCTACCTCAAGCCCCTTCGGGCCCATCCTATGCCATCTACCTGCAGCCTGCCCAAGCCATGACACCACCCCAAGGCCTGAGCCCAACGGTCTGTGCCGCCCACTCTCCTAAAGTTACTGGATCAAAAGACTCCACAGACGCCACAATTGAAAAGGCAACCAATGATGCCACAAAGTCCAGTGCCTCCACCAGGCCTGGGAGTTTGCTGCCAGCACCAGAGAGACAAGATGCAAAGAACCAAAACAGGGAGCCGGCTGGAGAAAGAGGCTCAAAGAGGGCAAGCATGCTTGAGGACACTGGTTCCAGAAAGAAATTTAAAGAAGACCTAAAGGGGCTTGAAAATGTCTCTGCAGTAAGTATAGCCTTGAACTGTGCAAAGCATTCAGAATTCCCTGGTTTACTGAAGCAGAATTCGGTGGCTTGTGAAATTTACCAGAGCAAAAGCAGTCTCTCAGAAGACAAGGGACTGTTCCTTGGCATCCCATAATCCAAATGAAGCCCCAGACAGCTAATCCTCTGGGATGACGGCAGGGACATTTTTAACCTTTGGAGGAAGGGATTATTTGCTCTTTTTTAAAGCACCATGGATGGTTGTCCTTAAGTCCATTTCTCCATCACATACTGGAGTGCAAACACCTGTCATGAAAGCCTTAAATAATTTACAAGCAGACGTAACCCCAAATGAGTGGATGGATGCATAGGGTTCCTGTCACTCCTGCTTTCTGAGTCATTGTCTAATGTTTGTCTGATGTCATGTAACTAGCATCTGTGGCCTAGAAGATAAATTGTTCCTCCTGTTTTTACTTTCTACCTAAAATCTCAACCAAAACTTCTGTTTATTTCTATTTTGTGTAAATAGGAAAATCAAACTGATCTTGGCAGATTGGAGGCATATTTGATGCATTAATTTCTAGAGATTTAGACATTATTTAGATAATTTTTTTTTCCTAGGTAGAGACTAGTTCAGGAAGGAATTAATATTTATTGGATGCTTACCCATATACCAGATGTCATGTTATTAAGCACTTTTATATACATTATCTCATTTTCCTCCCTTATATTATATATGATATTTATATTACATTTAATTATGCATATATTATATTATATATAAGGGACAATTATACATGAAAGACATCATCATCAACTAAATACCACTAAATATGGAAGCAGAAATTAATCTCTCATTTTGCGCCTGCTGTTAACTTGGGTTCTCTATGTCTTATTTTTCATCATCAATACAGAATTTATTCCACCAATTTTTTCTGATCACCTACCGGAATAAAGCACTCTACTCTGGATCAAATCTAACCCAGCACCTGCCTTTGGTCATGCTTGCTTTGGGTACTTGCCCATGGCCGTATTACAGTTTTTGTGGGGCTAAGTGAATTATTACATGATGATATATAAGGGGTTCGTGATCCTTTTAAGACACCATATAATCTGAAGGGTATTATCTGCTACTGTTATTATTAAGGAAGCTTTAGAGTTTGTCAAATCTTCCCTGAGGTTGGCCTCATGGTAAACATTATTATCTAACATAGTATCATTTTGCATTTAATATACATGCTAGGGGGCAAATCATAAGTCTTTGGCTTGATTCATATTTCTGGAAAGTCTGTAATCTCTTTGAGCCACTGGGAATGATTTAATAATGGTCTCCTGTTGCTCACTTAGTTATTCAGGATTGGGGTTTTCAATGGCTAGATTTCCCACATCCCCTTGCTTCTTGTTTTTCATCTCTATGACTTCATTTTGACTATTTCTTTTTAATATGCACTGAGCAAAACAAAGAAAATGAGAGATTCATGTGTTAATTCATTCAACAAACGTTTACTGAGAATTTACATTTCTAGAGGTGGAGAGAAGACAGCATGCAAATAAATATAAACATATTGGATAGTGAATGATGACAACGATACTGAAAATAAAACAGGATGAGGGGTTAGGAAGAGGGGCTGGGAAGCCTGCTGTAGGCTAGAAGAGATAACATTCAAGTTGAACTATGTCAAATTCATTCATTCTGCCAATTTAATAGTTCTATTTTTTTTTTTAAAGGAATTGGCATAACAGGTTAAAAGATTTTGTAGTGAGTATAGTTTGTTGAAAATTGGAAAATAATTCTCAGTACTATACAGGCTTTACTGAAGACTTAAAAGAGTTAAACCAGCAATCAGAATGACTTGTACCACAAGAGAGTATGACTAAAGATAACAGAGAGCAGCTATTTGTAAACTGCCTAAATCCACCCCTTAAAAATTCTGCATTTCTACAGCTTTCAAGGAACCTACTAGTAAAGATTTTGAGTAGAACCAAGCACCTAACAAACAAAATTAAAAGTATGTGGTACATTTTAGTTTTGTGGATTCTGAATTCACTTGTTCTCAAGGAAAAGACCTATTAACAGCTAGATCAAAGTGTTGACTTGTTTTGACAGTGGAGAGAAGAAAGATCTGTAGGAAGATAAAAGGAGGGCCCTAGTTTATAAGAGCCGCTTTTAGCTTTTGCCAGTCCCACTTACAGTAACGCTAAAGCAGACTTTTCAGGCAGTTCAGCCACCCATGTGGACTTTTTCTGTTTGGTAAAGTACAGTGATCTCACAGGCGTGGTGGCAGGCACATACAACCCAATACTCGTTCCTTTTCTATTTGTATTATAACTTAATTGCCTAAAGCTTTTGCTCAATGACATTTGGGTCCCTGATATGAATTAATCCATTTTCTGTTTTATCTATAATTTTTGAACTCTGGTATACTAGAGTTTGCATATTGTAGGACTGCTCAGTATCATTAGAACAAACAGTACTAGAAAAAAGTAATAGAAAAAAATCTACACTTGTATGATTCCTTTGTTTTAAATCAGGGGTCCACAAACTTTCTGAAAAGGGCCAGATAGTAAATCTTTTTGGCTTTGTGGGCCATATGGTCTCTGTTGCACCTATTCAACTCTGCCTTTGTAGCAGGAAAGCAGCCATGAATAATATATAAGTGAATGGGCATGGCTGTGTTCCAATAAAACTTTATTTACAAAAACAGGCAGGAGTTCGATTTGGCCAATGAGCCACACTCTGACTAACCCCTTCGCTGAATCAACATTGCTTAAAATGTTTTCTTTGAATACTAATAGCCTACCAAAAACTTAGTTGCCAAATAGTCTGGAAAATGCTACATGCTATAAGCCCCACTTGGAGATTGCATGCCATCATTAAAGTCATTGTTTCCCAAACATATTTGACCATGAAGCAAGTAAGCCTGCTTGCATCCCATGGAACTAGGGTCCAAAGAGAATACTCTTTGGGAAATACCATCCTACATAATTCAAGAACAATCAGATAATAATCCATCAGTGCTGTATATAAGGTGTTCAGCTACATTAAAGTTGGTTCTGACGATTAGCACCACATCATACCAAGAAGTCTGACGGCAGAAGTTAGGCCGTCATTGTGAGAGTGGTGCTGGGTGAATCCTATCCTTGAGCAGGCTCTGTGCCAGCTTTAGGACGTTTCCTAAGGCCACGGGCAGCATTTAAGAAACGTTCTGTATTATTAGGGACAAGCATTGGAACAGATGGGAGGATATTGTCCTCCAGGAGTCGGATGGCTGGCCCGCCTGTATTCTGGCTGGTAGAGGCTTTGGTCTGATGAGACAAATGACAACCAAGGGTTATTAGTCCTGGAAGAGGCACATGTCCATTTTTCTTCCTGTATTTGTATGTAAAATAAACCCTTCCTCCTTGTTTTCTAGACCTTGTTCCCTTCAGGATACCTAATTCCTCTCACCCAGTGCTCGTCCCTGGGGGCAGAGTCCATTTTGTCTAGTAAAGAAAACTCAGGTACACTTTCCCCAAACCACAGGATCTACAGCTCCCCAATCGCAGGTGAGTGTTCATAAAACACTGTTCAAATGTGGGCTGGTCTCAAGTTTACTTAAGCCTTGTAAACTTCTCAGACAAATACCTGTGCTTTTAAGATATCTTACCCCCCCCCTTTCCTTTCCAGGTGTAATACCTGTGACATCATCTGAACTCACTGCTGTTAATTTCCCCTCTTTTCATGTAACACCTTTGAAGCTAATGGTCTCACCAACTTCTGTGGCAGCCATACCTGTAGGAAACAGCCCAGCTCTCGCTTCAAGCCACCCAGTTCCCATCCAGAATCCAAGCTCAGCCATTGTAAACTTCACCCTGCAGCACTTGGGACTCATCTCCCCCAGTGTGCAGGTGTCTGCCAGCCCCGGGCCCGGAACCGTGCCGGTGTCTCCAAGAATAGAGGCTGTTAGTGTCATACCAGAAAATGCAGGCGCTCAGCAAGGAAGGGCCACCCACTATGATTCACCAGTTCCACGCCAGAACCCACCAAATGGACAATCACTTGCTTTGATGGGGACACAACAGGTGAGATTATTTCCATTTAATTTAATTTTTCTTTTAGTTTTAAGCCCCAACTGTCTGTCATGGGATACTCACTTTTGCTTTCCTTCTTTGGAGAGGGAAAGGATGGGAAGGTGAGGATATTATTCATATTATTGAGTTACCATGAAATTTTTGTCTCCCCTTAAAAATAATTCAGAGTGTAAAACTCATCAAGGCCTCTCTAGCCAGTTTTAAGATGTGCTAATTTCCTAACATGCAACACATCTCTCCAGTCCAATCTTCCACGTCTGCTAGGGCATATGTATCTGTGTGAGGCTGACTTCTTTTTTCCATTTCTCTCTTTCCAATCAGCCTGTTCCTTTGACACCCAAAGGGTCACAGTTAGTGGCCGAAAGTTTCTTCCGTACCCCAGGTGGACCAGCCAAGCCAATTGGCTCATCCTGCATGGATTTTGATGGTGGTAGTAAAACCTCCTTAGGAAGTCTCTTTGTGCCACAACGAAAACTGGAAGTCTCAACGGAGGATGTTCACTAATTGACAGATGTTGGCTTAGTTTAGTTTTCTAAAGAGTTGTTTAATACAGAAGATATACACAGACTGATGTGGAAAACACATTCTCTGAAAATATTGTTAATACATTGGGGTTTACTTAATGTCAAAGAAGATACTTGTTTGTACTTATATATATATATATGTATATACATACACATATATATATTTGTATAAAGCTAAGTTCAGCCTTCAATCCTACAAAATAAAAGCAAAATGTTGAACTAAGTCATATTAACTTCTAGGGGAAAAAGATTATTTCAGCTGTGCCTATACTGTTATGCAAAGTCACTGTATTAAAGTTTACTTCCCTTTAAGAATGTTTGACATGCCTAACACAGCATACTTTTAAACTTTTTGCACAAAGAAAATGCTGTGTGATGTATAATGTTGTATTTTTTAATAGGAGGGCTATAGCTATATTTTTTATAATTTCTTTAATCTGTTATTACAGTATGTCTTTTGTAAAGTTTGCAACAATCCTCAATCAAGTCTATAGAAAAATTATTTATAAAATGTATTTTTAATCATAAGTTGTTCAAATTAAAACTTTTCTAAAATGGAATTAACATTTTCATTTGGCCAGTTAGGGTACTGTTGGGAGAAAATTTAAATTTCTCTAATCTCCAAGGCAAATTCTTGGTAAGGAAGATGCATCCTGGATTTCCATAGATATGCAAAGTGTATAGAATATTTCTATATTCTTCCCCTTTTGACCCTCAGTACTGCTCCACTATTACAGAAGTAAAAGTGGATTTGGAGAGGCCATTCATTGGCCAAGGACACCCAGCTGAGTCTCATGCTCTCTGCCACACCCTGGGAGATGGAGAATGAAAGGCAGGAGCTGGGGTCCTCCCTGCTCTGCCCTGGCATGACCAGCATCTGTCCCAGGATTCCTGCTCTCCACAGAGGAGGGTCTGCAATCCACTCCTCTTACCAGCTCCAGGGATGGGAAAGCAGCAGAAGGGGGCCGGCCCGGTGGCGCACTGGAGAGTGTGCCGCTTGGGAGCGCTGTGGCGCTCCCGCCGAGGGTTCGGATCCCATGTGGAGACCGGTTCCTGCTCACTGGCTGAGCGAGGTGCGGGCGCAACACCGAGGGTTGCGATCCCGTTGCCGGTCCCCGGTACGGGTGCGACACTGAGGGTTGCGATCCCGTTGCCGGTCCCCGGTACGGGTGCGACACTGAGGGTTGCGATCCCGTTGCCGGTCCCCGGTACGGGTGCGACACTGAGGGTTGCGATCCCGTTGCCGGTCCCCGGTACGGGTGCGACACTGAGGGTTGCGATCCCGTTGCCGGTCCCCGGTACGGGTGCGACACTGAGGGTTGCGATCCCGTTGCCGGTCCCCGGTACGGGTGCGACACTGAGGGTTGCGATCCCGTTGCCGGTCCCCGGTACGGGTGCGACACTGAGGGTTGCGATCCCGTTGCCGGTCCCCGGTACGGGTGCGACACTGAGGGTTGCGATCCCGTTACCAGTCAGTAAAAAAGACAAAAAAAAAAAAGCAGCAGAAGGGATTCTAATTTCCTCCACACTCACGGAACCACCACACTAAACCCCCATAAGCTCCAAGAGAAGGAATGAGCTACAATGTGTTGTGTGTATCTCCTTTACCCCTTCATTATGGGGCAAATCGCACCTTGAGAATTGACAAATGCCTTCCCTAGTCAGGGTCTTAAAGGACCTTGATAATACCTGTTTCCTACATGTGTACTGTTTGTCAGGCAATGTGCTACACATTGTAAGTACATTATCTTCATGAGCTAGGACTGGGTGGTCACTGAGGCTCACAGAGGTTAAAGCAACAAGTCCATGGTCACATTACTAGTATATGCAAGAGCTCAAACCATGTCTGTTGGACCTCTTCATCTGTTACCCATCTGCCTCCAGATGCATGCGTAGCAGCTCTAGTAGGAACCAAGCACAGTGTTTCAGGGTGATCTGAGCATTCATAAGGTTGCCCCTTTCAAATATACATGTTTTGTTTGCACAACCAAATACAGCTAAGAGAAGGCAAATTTTCACCTTGACCCACAGAGCCATTTCCTCCATACCACTAGACAACCAACATAAGATATTTCCTCCAAACTACCTTCACCTTTGTTTTTATCCTATTTGGAGGGCATGCAAATGGTCCCTGATAGAAGAAATGGCCCTTGCCTTTAAGATGCTTCTAATATAGTTGAGTAAGACAATATATATACATGAATAAAGAAAGTATTTCCATCTGGTAAGGAGAAGGTAAGTTTACCAAATGGTAGATATAGATAAAACATGTAATTCTGTAGAGGCCACCAGATTTAACAGCATACCAAGAACTATGAGAGAAACACCATCCCAGACAGAAAGCCACTGGACCTCTGAGGAGGTGCAGCTCCTTACACCCCCCTCCTCTGCAGTGAGCTATAGAGACTAGAGGCCAAGGTTTTGTTTTGCTTCCCCCATCAATCCTCCCTGAAAAAGTACCTCCTTGGGGAAATGGATGCGCAGGAAGAAAGGAGGTGTGTGAGATTTCGAGGTAGCTCTGGGGATTGTCCCACCCAGTTCTGCCCCTCTGATAGGTTTATAAGGTTGCCCTGCGATTCCTGCCTCCTGGTGTTCGTGCCCTGTGTGTCACCCTCCCATTGAGTGTCAGCAGGACCTGCCACTTGCTCCTAACCAATTGAATATATAAAGGTGTGTGTGATTATATGGTCACATGATGTAAGATTGCAGTCTTACTGGCATTTCTCTCCCTTGCTGGCTTTGAGGAGTCAGGGAACCCAACATGGCATAGAACTGTGGGCAGCTTCTTGGAGGTGAAGGCAGCCTGCAGCCAACAACCAGCAAGAAACTGAAATCCTCAGTCCCACCTATAGCCACAAGGAGGTGAATTCTGCCAACAATCAGAGTGAGCTGGGAATGGGTCTTCCCTCGTTGAACCTTAGATGAGACCATATCCCCAACTGCCACTTTGATTGCAGCCTTATAAAACCCTAAGCAGAGGACCCATCTAAGCTGTGTCTGGACTCCTGGTGCACAGAAACTATGAAATAATAAATGCACCTTGTTTTAAGATGCTAAGTTTGTGGTAATATATTATGCAGCAGTAGATACCTTGTGCAGCCACATAACCCACCAGTGTTCGTAAATATCTTCTTCCAGTTTGCCTCATTATTGTTCATTCATTTAATAGGCATTTGTAAAAGAAAACATCTCTGGGATGTGGTAATCCCAAAGGCTTTAATGGGAGAAGCACACTCCCATCATTTTTAAAACTGGAAACAACTTTAGAGATTCTAGGTAATAAATAGCACAATAGTGGACAGAGTTATTTGCCCAGCACGCAATTTGTTTTCCTAAACTGCCTCCTTATTCCCTCTTAAGGAGTTACATTTTCCACATTGGATGGAGCCCAGTGAACTGTAATCAGGAGCCCCACTCATGTCCAGCAAGAGTGGACTTGGCATCCAGTGTGGCCGCCCTCCGTGGAATTTGATGTTCCATTTCATCCTAGCAATGGTGTTCTTGCCATTCTGCTCCCATTGCAAGACTGCTGCTGGAATTCCTGTTTCCTAGCCTCTGGAAAGGCCATGGCATCTTCCCATGTTCGAAATGATTATCAGCCATCTGCTGATTCTGTGGGCCTTTGCTGTTATTCCAAGAAGTTTCTTTTGGTTAAAGTAGCCAGTCATCTCTGTGGCTAGTAACCAAAGGACTCTTACCAGATCCCAGAAAGAAATCCAGACTAAGGCTTCTCAGTTCTCAGACCAGTTAGTTCTCTGTTCCTGGCAAAATCCAGCCCAAGAATTTCTAGAAAAAGCCTTCAAAAATGCTTATCTCCCCCAAAATGCAGGTAACTCACCTGTGTTCAACTGCATGTAAAGTGCCATTCCAATATCTGAAAGGGAAATAGTTGAAATAAGAGATAGAAGAACCTCAAGAAACTAGAAAATGAAATTTGATGCAAAAAAAAATATTTAAACCTGCTTTAAAACGAGTTCCCTCAGCCTTGTCCTTTTCAAACAATTAGTGTTCCTTCAGATAAAGGATAAAGAGATTTTCAGAACTTCAAGCAGATAAGCTGTCTAAGCAATCCTATTAATTATATAAAAGAGGGTGGGTTGACTGCAGATTCTTTACAGTATTTATCACTGCCTGGTAGTTTTCAAATCTTGAGGGCCTGTAATAAGAGATAAGCTCGAACGAAAAGTATCATTATTTTAGGTTGAAAAAAAAAAAGAATCAATCTCTTAAACAACTTTTTTTTTTTGTCTTTTTTTTTTTTTTTTTTTTTCATGTCCGGCAACGGACTGCAACCCTCAGTGTTGCGCCCGTACCGGACCGGCAACAGGATCGCAACCCTCGGCGCTGCGCCCGCCCCTCGCTCAGCCAGTGAGCGGGAACCGGTCTGTATGTGGGATCCGAACCCTCGGCGGGAGCGCCACTGCACTTCCCAAACGGTGCATTGTAGCAGTGAGCCACCGGGCCGGCCCTTAAACAACTTTTAAGAAGTGATTTTACGTATCCATGTCCCATTGGAGCAAACTCAGGTCAATGACTTGCTCAGTCTGATCAGTAGCTAAGTGTGGATGTGTCATGATTACCAACATTTTGTAGAAAAATATAGGTAGAGAATATATTATCAGTGTCCTCCAACAGTCAAATCACTGCTTTTTTTTTTTTTTCCTTTTTGTCTTTTTTCGTGACCAGTAACGGGATCGCAACCCTCAGTGTCGCGCCCGCACCACACTCAACCAGTGAGCGGACCGGTCTCTACATGGGATCCGAACCCTCGGCGGGAGCGCCACCACACTCCCAAGCACCGCACTCTACCAAGTGCGCCACCGGGTCGGCCCCAAATCACTGCATTTTTGATATGCCTGTATATACTGAATTCTGTTTTTAAAGTATTTATTCAATTTTTACCATATACTCAGCACTGCGTTGTGCAAAACAATGTTTATTATCCTACTTAGTTTAATAAAATATCCTCTATATGTGAATTTTCTTGAAGTTTATCCTGAATGAAAACATTTTTGTTACTATGAATTAAAATACTTGAATATAATTTAATCTTTTCTTCATGTTTCAGAAATTCATGAGCACTACTGTTTTGTTAAATTTAAATTCAACAAACACAAATTAGGCCACCTATCATACAATAATGCCTTTAGGGGCTATTAAATGTGTAGGTCTATATTCTCCTAAAAGTAAGTTCCCAGAATATTATGCTTTTCAAGTTCTATTTTTATGGTTCTCTGTCTCCAACTTTGATATCAGCTTCTACTTGCCTCGTCCCTCTACCCTCATGATTAATCTCTCTCTTCTGACCCAGGAAAACTAAAGGATTCCAGGGGAACTCACCTTTATAAATAATTCCCTGTCAATTGATTTCCAACTATTTAGGGAGGGCTCCATTCCTCTCATGTCCAGGAAAGGCCATAAATTCATGTCAGATGTTTCCTTTGCCAATCGGTGGTCTTTCTCACTATCCATACGAAACTGAAACTTGTTGATGCTGGGAATGCCAAGAATACCGAATATAAATTATATACCTATATTTGTTATCAAAACCCAACA